GTTTGTTTCAAAACAAAAAATATTTTGCATCTTCAAAGTGGTAGGCATGTTGTGTAAATCAAATGATACAAACCCCCAAGAAATCAATTTTAATTACAGGTTGTAAGGCTACAAAATAGGAAAAATGCAAAGGGGGGTGAATACTTTCGCAAGCCACTGTATGCCATCAAATAGATTTGTTTACGAGCCTTGCCAGATATATAAGATATCCCTGCTTACTTTGTCTGACAGAGGAGTATCTTGCCATTTTGCTTTACATATCATGCATTCCCCTTGCTTGCCTGAAAGCAAAATGACAATGTGTTTATTGGAACAATGTCATATACAATAGCAAAATATTACACTACTAGGAGGCTTTCAAACTGCATGGAGGATTTTTTATATGGCCAAACTGTTTCTGTAACATCAGACAAAGACCAGCAGAGGACAGTGTATTCAAGTTGAGCTTGTATCTGTTTTGAAAAAGACAGAACTGCAGCAAACTGACAAAGTAACAGCTGAGCTTCATGGAGGAACATAATATATTTTTATTTCATATAAGATTAGGCCTATATCATCAGTAGTTAGGCAATGATATGTTGAACTTAATTAATTTCACAAGATCCATAACAGGGTGCATTAGCACAATCAAATAGAGACTGAACCTTTCTGAAAACACAGGGTGCAGATGACATGACCACAGCTGGCAACAGCTAGTTTGAAGTCAGGACCAGGGGGGTTGAAGCAGGAGTTACAGCAGATCCAGCAAGGCATTTTCTATAGCTAGCTAAGAGATTAGCAAATGTTCATGTTAGGTAGTGAAAGCATTAGATAAGACTATGACATAGAATATATTAATTTCTAGCTATCTTCTAGCCCTCAAGTCGCACAGATCAGCCAAAGCAGATTGCTTGCTACCTAGACTAATTTAGCTAGCTAGCCAACGTTAGCTTGCGTGCCAGAGCTAAAAAGAATAGCTAACGTTACCTAGATGCCCCGTACAGCTATCTACTCAAAGTAACGGATATTTTATTGAAGACAGATCAACATCTGACTTACATAATGGCCTTTTGTTTCTCTATGGAATTAGCAAGCATTCACAAGATTTTCCGTGTCGATTTACTGGCCTTAGCTAGCTATTAGCTAGCCTAGCTAGCTTTAGATTTTCGGTTTGTTTTGATTTCGGATCGCTTTCTGATTGGCTGGCTACGTCATCATTGACGTTTTGTGGTAAAAAAATATGGAGATAGATTTCTATCAAAATGTTTAAGTTATATAAGTAGTGAGTCACAAACAAAAGATGTTGTGCATATATAGAATGCAACTTTTAAATACAATTCACAGTCTGTAAATATGCCATATAGTTAAACAAACATACAGTATGTCAAGATCCAAAAGCAAATGAGTCATCATTAACAAAAACAAATGATGATTAGCAAATAAATGCAAGACAGGTTTTTTCTGGTTAACACAGCACATTTTACAAACATAATTCATAATTTGCAAACACAACAGTGGTCAAATATGTTTTTGTGAATATGACAACATTTGTGACTCCACAGACTACATTTGTGACCTGCATTTTACATATTTGTGACTTGCATTACATTTGGGAGTTGACTCCCATTTGTGAGTTGCTCCACATATTTGTGAATGGTCTCATATATTTGTAAATTGCATTATACAGATCAGTTTATGCAGATTTAAGATACGGAATCCAGAGTAGGACATCCTCAGTTCTCATAAAAATAAGATAGAAATTAATATATCACAATTAACCTTTCCTCCTTTCCTATATTCATTTCCTCCTTTCCTAGCTTGCTTACCTTGACCCCTTTCCTTCCTCTCCTCCCCTCATTTGCTTTCCTAGCTTTCTTTCCTCCTATCCTTTCCTCTGATCTTAGCTTCCTTTCCTCCATTCCTTGCTCCCTTTCCATCCCTAGCTTCCATTTCTCTCCTTCTTTCTTAGTTCTCTTTCCTTTCCTCCTTTCATATCTTCCTTTCCTAGCTCCCTTTCATCCTATCCTTTCCTAGCTTCCCTTCATAGCTTCATTTCCTTGGTCTTTCCTATCTTCCATTCCTTCTTTCCTAGCTTCCCTTCATAGCTTCCTTTCCTTGGTCTTTCCTATCTTCCATTCCCTCTTTCCTAGCTTCCGTTCCTTGATTCCTTTCCTTCTTTTCCTCCGCACCTTTTCTTTCCTAGCTCTCTTTCCTCCTATCCTTTCCTAATTTGCTTTCTTTTCCTCCTATCCTAGCTTCCATTCCTCCTTTTATTGCACCCTTTCCTTCACTAGCTTCCTTTCCTTTCCTCCTTTTCTAGATCCCTTTCCTCCTTTCCTAGCTTCCTTTCTCTGATCTATTTTCTTTCTTTCCTCCCCTCCTTTGTTTTCCTAGCACCCTTTCCTCCTATACTTTCCTAGCTACCTTTCCTCCTTTCCTAGCTTCCTTTCCTTGGTCTTTCCCATCTTTCATTCATCTTTCCCTAGCTTCTATTCCTCATCTCCTTTTTCTAGATCCCTTTCCACATTTCTTAGCTTTCTTTCCTAATTTCTTTGTTACCTTTCTATCCCTAACTTCCTTTCCTCTTCTCCTTTCCTAGTTTCCTTTTCTTTCCTCATTTTCTAACTTCCTTTCCTTGCTCTATTTCCTTCCTTTCCTCTCCTCCTTTGCTTTCCTAGCTCCCTTTCCTTCTATCATGTCCTAGCTACATTTCATTTTCTCCTTTCCTAGCTTCCTTTCTTCCATTCCTCCTTGCCTTGCTTCCTTTCCTTGCTTCCTTTCCTTCCTTTCCTCCTCTCCTTTGCTTTCCTAGCTCCCTTTCCTTCTATCATGACCTAGCTACGTTTCCTTTTCTCCTTTCCTAGCTTCCTTTCTTCCATTCCTCCTTTCCTTGCTTCCTTTCCTTGATCCCTTTCCTTCATTTCCTCCTTCCTTTGCTATGCTAGCTCTTTTTCCTCCTTTACTTTCCTAATTCTCTTTCTTTTCCTCCTATCATAGCTTCCTTTCCTTTTTTCCTTGTTCCCTTTCCTTCCCTAGCTTCCTTTACTCTCCTCCTTTCCTAGATCCCTTTCTTAGCTTCCTTTCCTCCTTCCCTTACTCCCTTTCCTTCCCTAGCTTCCTTTCCTCTCCATTTCTAGATCCCCTTCCACTTTTCCCAGCTTCCTTTCCTCCTACTACAATAGTGACTTTGGGCATTCTACATCACTACTATTGCTACTATGACAGTCACTATAACAGTAGCAGCAAATCAGTGGCCCTGAAGGGTGGGTGTTCGATCCTTGGTCGAGTCATACCAACCAAAGACTCTAAAAAATGTGACCTGATGCCTCTCTGTTTGGCACTTAGCATTAAGAAGATGACTCATCCTCGGCACGGCATACCCAGGATACAAGGATCATGGGTGCATTAAACTTATTATCACTGCCCTCACTTCATGAGCAAAGAAAACCTATGCCTGGACTTTGCAGTGTCCCCTTTCAAGTCCCCCTTCAGAGACTGGTTACCTGCCTGCCAAGGACAGGTGTAAGGAAGGTCACCCATAGTATACACATGCTCTATATTTCACAGGCCAGGACTGAAAGATACAAACAGTCACCCATACCTTACTTTTGCCACTTCACTCTGTGTTTGTGTGTCCACTTAAGTAATTTTTTAAATTTCACTTCACCAATTTGGACTATTTTGTGTATGTCCATTACATGATATCCAAATAAAAATCCATTTAATTTACAGGTTGTAGTGTAACAAAATAGGAAAAATGCCAAGGGGGATGAATACTTTTGCATGGCACTGTAGATAGGAAATGATTGGAGGTCAGGGAGCTAGGAGGAAGGAGGGGAGGAAAGGAAGAAAGAAAGATGTCTAGAAAAGGAAGCTAGGAAAGGAAACTAGGAAAGGAAGTTAGGGTAAGAAAGGGAACAAGGAAATTAGGAAAGAAAGCTAGGAAATGAGGAAAGGGATCTAGAAAAGGAGGAGAGGAAAGGAAGATAGTGAAGGAAGGCTGCAAGAAAATGAGGAAAGAAAGCTAGGATAGGAGGAAATGAAATACAATTTGGAAAGGATAGGAGGAAAGAGAGCTAGGAAAGCAAAGGAGTGGAGGAAAGGACGGAAAAGGATCAAGGAACAGAAGCTGGGAAAGAAGGAATGGAAGATAGGAAAGACCATGGAAAGGAAGATAGGGAAGGATAGGATGAAAGGGAGCTAGGAAAGGATAGGCTGAAAGGGAGCTAGGAAAGGATAGGTTGAAAGGGAGCTAGGAAAGGATAGGATGAAAGGGAGCTAAGAAAGGATAGGATGAAAGGGAGCTAGGAAAGCAACTCACAAAATAAGTGATGCGACTGAATTTTGTGAGTGGCATCACTTATGTGTGTGTTTATTTCCTAGCTCCCTTTCATCCTATCCTTTCCTACCTACCTTTCATCCTATCCTTTCCTAACTCCCTTTCATCCTATCCTTTCCTAGCTCCCTTTCATCCTATCCTTTCCTAGCTCCCTTTCATCCTATCCTTTCCTATCTCCCTTTCTTATCTTCCTTTCCTATCTTCCGTTCCTTGATCCTTTTTCTTCCTTTCCTCCACTCCTTTGCTTTCTCACAACTCACAAATGTAATGCAAGTCACATTTATGTAAGATGCAAATGTGATCTGTGGAGTCACAAATTATGTCATATTCACAAAAACCTATTTGACCACTGTTGTGTTTGTAAAATAAGAAATATGTTTCTTAATTATCCTGTGTTAACCAGAAAAAAAACGTTTATTTGCTCATCATAATTAGTTTTTGTTAATGATGACTCATTTGCTTTCGGATCATGACATATGTTTGTGAAACTATATGTGCATAATTACAGACTATGATTTGTATTTGAAAGTTGAATTCTGTATTTGCACAACAACTCTTTTGTTTGTGACTCACTACTTATATATTTACAAAATCCTGATAGAAATCTATCTCCATAAAAAATAATGTCTGTTATAATTCATAGAAATTACAGTCAAGTAATAATAATACAAAATAGCATAGGTGTGTAAAATGAAACAAAACACATTTTATTAATCCATACATTGTCTCAAGAAGAATGTACAGTAAAATAGATGCATCAGCACTGATCTAAGTCTAGTTTTGGAAAAGCAGACTCTAGTGGCCACTTTGCATTGTACTGCAAGACATAAATCCGCCCCTAAAGCCAATCTTATCAAACCAACTTCTTTGCAATCAGAAAGTCTTTCAGTCTTTTGATTTGCCAAAATCCAACTGACAGTAGAACGGAAGTCTGCACAACAGCCCACCACAAAACTTTCCCATTGGTTTCTTCACTGATCTGACGGAAAGTCTCCTCTCTTTCCTGTGAACAAAAAAAAAGTGGTGGTGGATAGTTCATTCTGGACTGTTCTTAGTTGAATAGGACAGGCCTAGTAGCTCAATGTAATATTTGTTGTCTTCATCAAACAATGTATTGTACTGTAGAACTGTAGTTCTGATCAAAATATTAGTCCGCTTTGTTCTGAAACTTGACATTTTGAAAATGACTCTTTCATAAAAAGTGTGTTTGTGATTATTTCCTATGTGTGTGATAGTTTGCATTGTTGACAAGACTGTAGGGTTTACCCTCTGGAAGTCTTGCTGCCTGGTGATGTATAGGATCTGGTCCCTCAGATGCTCCAGGCTGTACTCCATGGTCTGGACTGTGTCTTTGTGCCTCTCAACACTGGGGTCAATGGAGTGCTCTCCCATCTGCACATCAAAATGAATCCTCTGCGATGGAGATATCAGAACATTGTTCAGTAATGGTTATGGAGCAGCAACACAGTCCAGCAGACTCAGTGCATTCAAAGTATAAGTGTGGATGAACTCACCAGCCTTTCACCGGCGAAAACAGAAAACCTTGTTGAGTTGGACTGCATGCACAACCAATGCGGGCCAGAGGCGTGGGATGTGAATGTGAATTTTCCAAATCTGCCATATCTTTTTTTCATCAATATCTGGAACCAAAGAGGAGAAAAAGATTAAGAGTATGTTCTCTCTGTTTAAGGAATGGTTTTATGTAATCAGGACAAGCAAACATATGTTTGTGTTTAGGGAGTGGGCTGGGTAGTAAACTGCTCTATAAGCCTACGTACATCGTGGTTTGGATCTCGCACGGTGATAGTGAGGCCAAGATGAGGGGAGTTATGGTTAAGGTTCTGTTTTGCGTCCCAATTCTCCAAAAGAAAATAACCTGAGAAAAACACATACCACAGACAGTATAAGGCAATATTCTAAGTGTTTTATTACATCTCAGTGTGCTTTAGATTGCTTGGGGGTATACCATTATTACATAAACAGTAGAGACGATTTAGCAAATTAAGCCTGAACCTCTCCAGATGTAAATACTACTGGAATATCAAATGATCTCTGCTAACCCATTTAACTTTTTTTGTGTTTTTCTAAAAAGGTGGCTGAGATACAGCACAGTGAAATTAATGCAGAACAGTGTCCTCCTTTCCAACTGCCCATAGAACTCACCTGTGACCAGCATGTCGCCTGGAATCTCCTCGATAAGGCATTTCTCCTCCTGCTCACCCAGATCAAAGTACATAGCAGCCGTCAGCGCCAGGTAACACAGCATCCACAGCCCAATGCCTCTCACATTCATTTTGACATACAAGATGTGACAAACTTAAATGTATATAATGAGCCTTATGGTTGTTCGTGTGCAGGCGACAACTCTGGTGTGAGAAACTGACACCTGCTGTTGCTGCGACTGACCATCCAAACTGTGAGTTTGAGGGGGTACCCAAGGCCAACAGAGAAACTGATAAGCCTGGCCAGTAGTAGAAGCCTACATGTATTGATAAAGAAACATTAAATAGTTCACTTATTAACTACTGTTCACTGTACCATCATGAAACCTACTCGCAAACATCTGCAAAGACTGTCATCCATCAAAAGCCAAGAACCTGTCTTTCTCTTTTTCCTGTTACTTTTCCCAGTAATTTTCAATCAGTTGTCATTGGTTTGAATTAAGACCAATTTGAGAAACTGTCACGATCGTCTGAGGAAAAGGACCAAGGCGCAGCGTTGAATGTGAACATATTTATTAAATTTGATGATCACACGATCAAAACAACAAAAGGACGACGTGATAGTCAATGGTCATACACTAACCAAATACGAACAAAATCCCACAACCCCGAATGAAAAACAGACAGTTTAAATATGGCTCCCAATCAGAGACAACCAACGAACAGCTGACACTCGTTGCCTCTGATTGGGAGTCACTAAGGCAAACACAGAAATACACACATAGAATAACCACACCCTGGCTCAACATATAGAGTCCCAGAGCCTGGGTGTGACAGTACCCCCCCCTAAAGGCGCGGACTGCGACCGCGCCTCAACTAGAACCCAACAGGGGAGGGCTGGGTGGGCATTCCTCCTCGGCGGCGGTTCTGGCTCCGGGCTTGCCCACCACCCCCCAATAATCCCCCCATAGCGCCCCTGATCCGATCTGGCCCCGCTGGTAGGAGCTGAACTGGACCGGACCGGGCTGATGATGCGCACCCCTGGCTTGATGCGTGGAGGAGGAACGGGCCTTACCAGGCTGACGTCTCGCACCGTAGGCTTGGTGTGAGTGGCCGGAACAGGCCGGGCCGGACTGGCGACGCACACCACTGGCTTGGTGTGGGGAACAGGCACGGGCCGTGCCGGACTGACGACGCACACCACTGGCTTGGTGTGGGGAACAGGCACGGGCCGTGCCGGACTGACGACGCACACCACTGGCTTGGTGTGGGGAACAGGCACGGGCCGTGCCGGACTGACGACGCACACCACTGGCTTGGTGTGGGGAACAGGAGCGGGCCGTGCCGGACTGACGACGCACACCACTAGCTTGGTGTGGGGAACAGGAGCGGGCCGGACCGGGCTGGCGACGCGCCCCACAGGCTCGATGCGAGGAACAGGAACAGGCCGGACCGTACTGGGGACACACACCACTGGCCCTATGCAGGGATCAGGAACGGGCCGGACCGGACTGGTAAAACACCCCAGTACCTCTCGCCGTGCCTCCACACTTTCCCTCTCCTCTGTGACCAGTGGCCCCCTTAACCTGGCGGCCTCCTCTGCACACCCGCTGGGCTGCTCTGTCGCGGTCTCCTGCCGCCCCGTCGTCCACAGCGTTAGCCCCCCCCTAAAAATTTTCGGGGCGTCTCTCCTACCCGTGGACCAGGTCTCCATGTCCCTCGCCAGCCGTTCGCCCTTCTGCCACAATGTCAAGCCCTTCTCCTCCTCACTCGGCTTGACCCAGTCGAGGAGGCGAAGGAGATCTGTTAGAGATCTCCCTGGCGATGGCTCCTGGACACGCTGCTTGGTCACATCTTGGTGGGATTTTCTGTCACGATCGTCTGAGGAAAAGGACCAAGGCGCAGCGTTGAATGTGAACATATTTATTAAATTTGATGATCACACGATCAAAACAACAAAAGGACGACGTGATAGTCAATGGTCATACACTAACCAAATACGAACAAAATCCCACAACCCCGAATGAAAAACAGACAGTTTAAATATGGCTCCCAATCAGAGACAACCAACGAACAGCTGACACTCGTTGCCTCTGATTGGGAGTCACTAAGGCAAACACAGAAATACACACATAGAATAACCACACCCTGGCTCAACATATAGAGTCCCAGAGCCTGGGTGTGACAGAAACAACCAGGAACATATATGAAGCGGAAGCCACCAATGGCCCAGATGTAGGCTATGATTGCTATTGCTATTTCTGCAATCAGTTTATTTCTCTGGTTTTCTGTATCTTAGGGGTTTTATAGGAAATAGCTAATTTGTGCTACATTGTAAGACAGTTTGTCATATCTTATCATGGGACATGGCTTGATACAGTACAAGTCAAAAGTTTGGACACACCTACTCATTCAAGGGTTTTTCTTTATTTCTACTGTTTTCTACATCGTAGAATAATAGTGAAGACATCAAAACTATGAAATAACACATATGGAATCATGTGGTAACCAAAAATGTGTTAAACAAATCAAAATATATTTTAAATTTGAGGTTCTTCAAAGTAACGACCCTTTGCCTTGATGACAGCTTTGCACACTCTTGGCATTCTCTCAACCATCTTCACCTGGAATGCTTTTCCAACAGTCTTGAAGGAATTCCCACATATGCTGAGCACTTGTTGGCTGCTTTTCCTTCACTCTGCGGTCAGACTCATCCCAAACCATCTCAATTGGGTTGAGGTCGGGGGATTGTGGAGGCCAGGTTATCTGATGCAGCACTCCATCACTCTCCTTCTTGGTAAAATAGCCCTTACACAGCCTGGAGGTGTGTTGGGTCATTGTCCTGTTGAAAAACAAATGATAGTCCCACTAAGCCCAAACCAGATGGGATGGCGTATCGCTGCAGAATGCTGTGGTAGCCATGCTGGTTAAGTGTGTCTTGAATTCTAAATAAATCACAGACAGTGTCACCAGCAAAGCACCCCCAGACCATAACACCTCCTCCTCCATGCTTTACGGTGGGAAATACACATGCAGAGATCATCCGTTCACCCACACCGCGTCTCAAAAAGACATGGTGGTTGGAACCAAAAATCTCAAATTTGGACTCCAGATCAAAGGACACATTTCCACCGGTCTAATGTCCATTGCTCATGTTTCTTGGTCCAAGCAGGTCTCTTCTTATTATTGGTGTCCTTTAGTAGTGGTTTCTTTGCAGCAATCCGACCATGAAGGCCTGATTTACACAGTCCCCTCTGAACAATTGATGTTGAGATGTGTCTATGACGTGAACTCTGTGAAGCATTTATGTGGGCTGCAATTTCTGAGGCTGGTAATGCTAATGAACTTATCCTCTGCAGCAGAGGTAACTCTGGGTCTTCCATTCCTGTGGCGGTCCTCAAGAGTGTCAGTTTCATCATAGCACTTGATGGTTTTTACGACTGCACTTGAAGAAACGTTCAAAGTGCTTGAAATTTTCCGTATTGACTGAACTTCATGTTTTAAAGTAATGATGGACTGTCGTTTCTCTTTGCTTATTTGAGCTGTTCTTGCCATAATATGGACTTGGTCTTTTACCAAATAGGGCTATCTTCAAGGCACACCTATTAATTGAAATGCATTCCAGGTGACTACCTCATGAAGATGGTTGAGAGAATGCCAAGAGTGTGCAAAGGTGTCATCAAGGCAAACGGTGGCTATTTGAAGAATCTCAAATATGAAATATATTTTGATTTGTTTACTACACAATTCCATATGTGTTATTTCGTTTTTGATATCTTCACTATTATTCTACAATGTAAAAAAATTTAAAAATAAAGAAAAACCTTTGAATGAGTAGGTGTATCCAATCTTTTGACTGGTAGTGTATGTAAGGTATGACTTATGAAAGCTTTGACATAGATTGAAAATGATGTCAATGAGTAACAAAGCTTTTCATGACAGGGACATTCCTTTGAGATCGGTGTGTTTCATAGCCCTATTTTATGCTGTGGTGTATGCATGATTTATTTTGTTGATTGTATGTTATATTTTAGCTTTACATCAATCAGAAATACAATTACAATAGGCTTTATCAGAGTGCGACGGTGAAATGCGGTAGGCGAAGTCAAACGCAGGACACAGAGCTTACTGGAAATGTACTTTACTCAAAAGTAACCAGAGAAGAAAAACAATCTCCACATAAGGAGGATAAACAACCCGCACACGAAACACTGCCGATGACGAATACAATAACACACAACACACAATGAACGACAGAGGGTTAAATAGGGAATACAATACAACATAATGGGGAACAGGTGTACACAATCAGGACAAAACAAGTCAAACACCGAAACATAGATCGGTGGCAGCTAGTACTCTGGGGACGACGAACGCCGAAGCCTGCCCGAGCAAGGAGGAGGAGCAGCCTCGGCTGATTCCGTGACAGGCTTACATGTATTTACAGTTTTTTGGACTTACATACAGACACAAACTAATTTAGCAACTTCTCTCTGATTACCTCAATGGCACAATCGAGTATGAGATTTCTACTGCTTAATACTGTACAGTACAGGTCGAAAAACTGTAAATAAATCATCATGGAAAACAATGCTTTATCTGTAAACACTTCAATGCACTTTTAGCACACTGCACAATGTTTAGGAAGTACTTGTAATTGAACTGCATCTTACAATGCAATTCTGAACTCCAATCTCGTCTATTGCAAGTAATGGATCCATTGAAGCACCATTATTTCCCTGTTCTCTGTTTTGGCAACTCTTGGGGTTGACTGCCTTATCATATATAACTTAATGTGCAAATTCTCCATTTGCACACTAATGACTAGCTACCTCAGATAACCCAATGACGTAGGGGAACATCAACTTCAAGGATGAACTAGGCCTATGGGCATAGTTTCAAGACAACCTCTTCATTCCTCTGGCTTCACAATAATTGCCTGTCTGTGACCCATTTATAAATCTTTCCCAGTCAGTGGTGGCTGGTGCCACTTTAAATTGAAGGACATGCTCATAGTAATTTCCGGAATGGGGTTAATGGAACGGCATCAAAAACATGGTTTCCAAGTGTTTGATACCATTCCATCTATTCCAGCCATTACTATGAGCATTCCTCCCTTCACCACCCTCCGCTGTTCCCAGTGAATGCGCTAGGAGGCCCAGAGAGAAAAGGGTCCATCTTTACAGCTTGGGCTTCTCCAGTGGAGATGACGGACGCATCTTTTGTCGTCTTAGTCGTCTTGCATGGCCTCTTCTTTTCTGTTTCTTACCCTTGCCGGCGAGTCATAAGCAGTTGTCAGGGATGCATTTCTTCTCCTCTTCCAGTGGGGGGCAGACTACCCCATTGTTAGCTGGTTGTAGGTGGATGTAGCGCGTTCTGTTGCGCACATCTGAGTCTCCGCATTTGCCTTTGCACAGGCCCCAGGGTGACCATACAGACACCTCGCAGTCCAGAGGAGTGGAATCTAGTGGGAAGGACACCTCTGTTAGCAATATCCATTAAGACATTATTTTAGCAAACACTTGAATTGCAAGAGACCAGATACAAGAGACCTGTAACACTTGAGCATGCAACAAGCAGTAAGGGGTGATATGATTTCAGTGAGCCTTCCTCCAGTCAAGCTCTAGGGCCCCTCTGTCTGTGTGGTGGTCTGTTAGAGTTATAGCATGCCACGCACGGATATGCCCTCAGGCATAGGTTAAAAGGACTGATTCAGCTAAGCCACCCAACACCATTTCATATGAAAGGGGAAGACTTGATCTATTGGCTGATACAAAAACTTGAAGTTAATTTGCTGAAAAAAAGACAAAATATTTATATAATATTTCCAAGTGTTATGTAGAATATAGCTGTAATACTGGAGAAAACATTATATTTTAAAATTGTGTAGAATTTATAAGGTTTCCCAATCCCAATTAATTTCTATGTACATGCCAAAGTAAATTATAACATTTAAGGAAACTCTATTAAATATACACTGAGTATACAAAACATCAAGAACACCTGCTCTTTCCATGACATAGACTGTCCAAGTAAATCCTTGTGGAAGCTATGATCCCTTATTGATGCCACTTGTTAAATCCTCTGCAATAAGTGTTGATGAAGGGGAGGAAACAAGTTAAAGAAGGATTTTTAAGTCTTGATACAATTGGACATGGATTGTGTATGTGTGCAATTCAGAGGGTGAATGGGCAAGACAAAATATTGACGGGGGGGGGGGGGGGGGCTGCAACTCAATATTAGGAAGGTGTATGCTTTTGTGTATCGAAAGCTCTTACATAGCGGTACATTCCTGGCTAATGTGGCTATACTGCGGTTTAAGTCTGGATGGCGGGTGAGCGTCTATTCCACCTTAGACAGGGGAGGAGGAGCGCGCAGGAGTTCGCACTGGACTTCCGGACGCTGGCTGCCAACACGGGATGGAATGAGAGGGCCCTCATCGACCACTATAGATGTAGCCTGAGGGAGGACGTGCGTCGGAAATTGGCCTGCAGGGACACCAACCTCAGCTTTGATCAACTGGTGGACATGTCGATTCGCCTGGATACCCTGTTGGCTACCCGCGGACGTCCGGATTCGGGGCCGTCCATTCCATCCCCCAGCACTTCCGAGCCGATCCCTATGGAGCTCGGGGGTGCTGGTGCTAGGGAGACCAGGAGGGAGGCCGTCCCCTGCACCAACTGTGGCCGCAGAGGACACACTGCTGGTCGGTGCTGTGAGGGTCTCCTAGGAATCGAGGCAGTGGGCAAAGCACTGATGAGTCATTCCAGGTGAGTAGGCACCCAACTAACCCAGAGCTCTCTGTTGATCATATGTGTATTAAAGTGGTGTTTCCCGAGGTTTCTCCTCACTCCCAGTATAAGTTGCTAGTAGATTCAGGCGCAGCTGGGAATTTTATCGATCGCCAGTTCACCTATAAGTTAGGGATTCCTATCGTACCTGTTGATGTGCCCTTCCCTATTCATGCCCTAGATAGCCGCCCTTTGGGGTCAGGATTGATTAGGGAGGTCACGCCGCCTCTCCGGATGAAAACGCAGGAGGGTCATGAGGAGATATTACGTTTGTATTTGATTGATTCTCCTGCGTTTCCCGTGGTGTTGGGGCTTCCCTGGTTAACATCTCATGACCCCAACATTTCATGGCAGCAGAGAGCTCTCAAGGGATGGTCTGATCAGTGTACTGGGCGGTGTGTAGGCGTTTCTGTAGGGGCAACGACGGTGGAAAGCCCGAACCAAGTTCCCACCTTGCACATTCCACCTGAGTATGCCGATTTGGCACTCGCCTTCAGTAAGAAGAAGGCGACTCAATTACCACCTCATCGACAGGGGGATTGTGCGATAGACCTCCAAGTAGGCGCTGCGCTTCCACGTAGTCACGTGTATCCTCTGTCTCAGGAGGAGACGGCCGCTATGGAGACCTACGTCACCGAATCTCTGAGACAGGGTTACATACGGCCGTCCACTTCCCCTGCGTCCTCAAGTTTCTTTTTTGTGAAGAAGAAGGATGGGGGGTTACGCCCGTGTATTGATTACCGTGGTCTAAATCAGATCACCATTAAATACAGCTATCCTCTCCCTCTGATTGCTAGTATGACAGAGTCATTACACGGGGCGCGATTCTTTACAATATTGGATCTCAGGAGTGCGTACAACCTGGTGCGCATTAGGGAGGGAGATGAGTGGAAGACAGCATTCAGTACCACCTCGGGTCACTATGAGTACCTCGTCATGCCATACGGTTTAATGAATGCTCCTTCAGTCTTCCAATCATTTGTGGACGAGATTTTCCGGGACTTGCATGGACAGGGTGTTGTGGTATATATTGATGACATTCTAATATACTCCGCTACACGAGCCAAGCATGTGTCCCTGGTGCGTCGAGTGCTTGGTAGACTGTTGGAGCATGACCTGTATGCGAAGGCGGAGAAATGTCTGTTCTTCCAGGAGTCCATCTCTTTCCTGGGACATCGGTTGTCCGCGTCAGGGGTAGAGATGGAGATTGACCGCGTTTCTGCTGTGCGTAATTGGCAGACTCCCACCACGGTAAAGGAGGTGCAGCGCTTCTTGGGTTTTGCCAATTACTACCGGAGGTTTATCCGGGGCTTTGGACAGGTAGCAGCTCCCATTACCTCTCTGCTAAAGGGGGGTCCGGTGCGCCTGCAGTGGTCAGCTGAGGCGGACAGGGCATTTAAACGTCTGAAGGACCTGTTTACCTCGGCTCCGGTGCTGGCGCATCCGGATCCCTCTTTGGCATTCCAGGTGGAGGTGGACGCTTCCGAGGCTGGGATCGGCGCTGTGCTGTCTCAGCGCTCGGGTACGCTACCGAAACTCCGCCCCTGTGCTTTCTATTCTAAGAAGCTCAGTCCGGCGGAGCGCAATTATGACGTGTGGGACAGGGAGCTGCTAGCTGTGGTTCAGGCCCTGAAGGTGTGGAGACATTGGCTTGAGGGGGCTAAACACCCTTTTCTCATTCTGACTGACCATCGTAACCTGGAGTACATCCGGGCAGCGAGGAGGCTGAACCCTCGCCAGGCAAGGTGGTCTATGTGTCTCTCCCGCTTTGTATTTAAGCTCACATATAGACCAGGGTCCCAAAACGCTAAGGCAGACGCCCTGTCCCGACTATATGACACAGAGGAAAGGTCCATTGAGCCCACTCCCATACTCCCGGAGTCTTGTCTGGTGGCACCGGTGGTGTGGGAGGTTGATGCGGAAATCGAGCGGGCGTTACGTTCCGATCCTACTCCTCCACAGTGTCCAGAGGGTCGGAGGTACGTGCCGCTCGAGGTTCGCGATCGTTTGATATACTGGGCTCACACGTCACCCTCCTCTGGTCATCCGGGTATTGGTCGGACAGTGCACTGCCTTAGTGGGAAGTACTGGTGGCCAACTTTAGCGAAGGACGTGAGGGTTTATGTTTCCTCCTGCTCGGTGTGCGCCCGGTGTAAGGCACCTAGACACCTGCCCAGGGGGAAGTTACAACCCCTACCCGTTCCACAACGGCCGTGGTGTCACCTATCGGTGGATTTTGTCACGGACCTTCCCCCCTCCCAGGGGAACACTACGATCTTGGTCGTTGTGGATCGGTTTTCTAAAGCCTGCCGTCTCATTCCCCTGCCAGGTCTCCCTACTGCCCTACAAACTGCTGAGGCCCTGTTTACACACGTCTTCCTGCACTATGGGGTGCCTGAGGATATAGTGTCTGATCGGGGTCCCCAGTTCACCTCTAGAGTCTGGAGGGCGTTTATGGAACGTCTGGGGGTCTCGATTAGCCTTACCTCAGGTTTTCACCCCGAGAGTAATGGGCAGGTGGAGAGAGTGAACCAGGATGTGAGTAGGTTTCTGAGGTCTTATTGCCAGGACCGGCAAGAGGAGTGGTCGGGATATATTCCCTGGGCAGAGATAGCCCAAAACTCACTCCGCCATTCGTCCACTAACCTTACGCCTTTCCAGTGTGTGCTAGGTTATCAGCCGGTTCTGGCACCTTGGCATCAGAGCCAGACCGAAGCCCCTGCGGTGGACGAGTGGTTTCGGCGCTCGGAAGAAACTTGGAACGCTGCGCATGTCCATCTGCAGCGGGTTATCAGGCGGCAAAAGGCGAGCGCCGATCGCCACCGCAGTGAGGCTCCGGTGTATGCACCGGGAGATCGGGTCTGGCTCTCACCCCGAAACCTGCCCCTTCGCCTGCCCTGCCGGAATCTGGGTCGGCGGTTTGTGGGGCCATTTAAAGTCCTGAGGAGATTGAACGAGGTATGCTATAGGTTACAACTGCCCATTAATTACTGCATTAACCCCTCGTTCCATGTGTCTCTCCTCAGGCCGGTAGTGGCTGGTCCACTCCAGGAGAGTGAGGTACGAGAGGCTCCTCCGCCCCCGTTGGACATCGAGGGGGCTCCGGCGTACTCAGTCCGTTCCATCTTGGATTCGAGGCATCGGATGGGGGGCCTGCAGTATCTCGTGGAGTGGGAGGGGTACGGTCCGGAGGAACGGTGCTGGGTCCCCAGGAGGGACATCCTAGATCCCTCCATGTTGAGGGACTTCCACCGTCGACATCCGACTCGCTCTGCTCCGCGTCCTCCTGGCCGTCCCCGAGGCCGGGGTCGGCGCACGGCTGGGGCCGCGCGTCTAGGGTGGGGAGTACTGTCACGGAATCAGCCGAGGCTGCTCCTCCTCCTTGCTCGGGCAGGCTTCGGCGTTCGTCGTCCCCGGAGTACTAGCTGCCACCGATCTATGTTTCTGTGTTTGACTTGTTTTGTCTTGATTGTGTACACCTGTTTCCTATTATGTTGTATTGTATTCCCTATTTAACCCTCTGTCGTTCATTGTGTGTTGTGTGTGATTGTTCTCGTCATTGTCGGCAGTTGCTAGTGTGCGGGTATTCCCCTCCCTGTTTGGAGGTTGTTTTGTATTCTGGTTACTTTGTTAGTAAAGTATCGTTTCCAGTAGCTCGGTGTCCTGCGTTTGACTTCGCCTACCGCATTCACGTCGCATTCTGACAATGACCTTGTAAAATGTTGATATTTATCACAGATTTAGGCTTTTAGGATAATTAGAAAAGCACAAGGATGGAAGATGGAAATAAAAGCAAGGCTGGAGTTGACATCTTATTTGACATCTTATTTTGGTTCCATTACAAACACTCCCATGGGCTCAGAGGAGCAGCTCTTGCTGACTCCATCTCAATGCTGTTGCACAATGGATCTGATTTCCTACAGATTTCCTCCGATTTCCTCTTTATGTTTTGCCAGATGACAGAGGGGTAGGATTGGAAGATATCCAATAGATATTAGTTATGCATTTTCACTTTATTTGTTTCTTACTTGCCAGTCTGGTTGAACTGGGTGGGCTCCATGGTTAGGCTGAAGATCTGGTTGCTCTTGATCTTTGTCAGGGTGACCTTGCCCATGGGGGGCAGATTCTTCAGACGGGGGTAATAGAAGGAGTTGGCAGGATGGCTTGGAGAAGATGATGTTATCTGGAAAGGACAAAATCAAGTTGAGTTGTCAAAATCACTTCTGGTATTGATTACCGAAGCTGATAGTATCACTATCATACAGTACCAACATGATGATGAACCATGGGTTCTTTTAGATTTACCTCTGTGACTTTGGCCTGAGGAATGGTCTCAAAGTTGGGAGAGGAAAAGGTGAAGCTACTGTCAGTGCCTGCATCATATGGGTACAGCTCCAGTGTAATGCTCTCCTTCCAATGGTCTCCCTCACTAAGGTTAAAGCTGTCCACTCCCAGGAACCAGTCTGGGCTGGGAACTATCCTCACTACGAAGGACAGCTGGGGAGAGAGAGAGGAGTAGTATGGGTTATGTTGACGTTTCTAGGAGTCCACCTAACGGAAAACTCAAATTTGGTGCAGAAAGTTGAAAGATCAGCAATCTCAATCTACACTGCATTTTTTTATTTATTTTTATTTCACCTTTATTTAACCAGGTAAACCAGTTGAGAACAGGTTCTCATTTACAACTGTGACCTGGCCAAGACAAAGCAAAGTAGTGCAACAAAAAACAACACAGAGTTACATATGGGGTAAAAAAAAAAAACATAAAGTCAGAGATACAACAGAAAATATATATACAGTGTGTGCAAATGTAGCAAGTTATGGAGGTAAGGCAATAAATAGGCTATAGTGCAGAATAATTACAATAGTATTAACACTGGAATGCTAGATGTGCAAGAGATTATGTGCAAATAGAGATAATGGGGTGCAAAAGAGCAAATTAAATAACAATATAGGGATGAGGTAGTTGGGTGGGCTAATTTCAGATGGGCTGTGTACAGGTGCAGTGATCGGTAAGGTGCTCTGACAACTGATGCTTAAAGTTATTGAGGGAGATAAGAGTCTCCAGCTTCAGAGATTTTTGCAATTCGTTCCAGTCATTGGCAGCAGAGAACTGGAAGGAATGGCGGCCAAAGGAGGTGTTGGCTTTGGGAATGACCAGTGAGATATACCTGCTGGAGCGCAGACTACGGGTGGGTGCTGCTATGGTGACCAATGAGCTAAGATAAGGCGGGGATTTGCCTAGCAGTGATTTATAGATGGCCTGGAGCCAGTGGGTTTGACGACGAACATGTAGTGAGGACCAGCCAACAAGAGCGTACAGGTCACAGTGGTGGGTAGTGTATGGGGCTTTGGAGACAAAACGGATGGCACTGTGATAGACTACATCCAATTTGCTGAGTAGAGTGTTGGAGGCTATTTTATAAATGACATCGCCGAAGTCAAGGATCGGTAGGATAGTCAGTTTTACGAGGGCATGTTTGGCAGCATGAGTGAAGGAGGCTTTGTTGCGAAATAGGAAGCCGATCCTAGATTTAACTTTGGATTGGAGATTCTTTATGTGAGTCTGGAAGTTGAGTTTACAGTCTAACCAGACACCTAGGTATTTGTAGTTGTCCACATACTCTAGGTCAGACCCGTCGAGAGTGGTGATTCTAGTCGGGTGGGCGGGTGCTAGCAGCGTTCGATTGAAAAGCATGCATTTAGTTTTACTAGTGTTTAAGAGCAGTTGAAGGCTACTGAAGGATTGTTGTATGGCATTGAAGCTCGTTTGGAGGTTTGTTAACACAGTGTCCAATGAAGGGCCAGATGTATACAAAATGGTGTCGTCTGCGTAGAGGTGGATCTGAGAGTCACCAGCAGCAAGAGCGACATCATTGATATACACGGAGAAAAGTGTCGGCCCAAGAATTGAACCCTGTGGCACCCCCATAGAGACTGCCATAGGTCCAGACAACAGGCCCTCCGATTTGACACACTGAACTCTATCTGAGAAGTAGTTGGTGAACCAGGCGAGGCAGTCATTTGAGAAACCAAGGCTATTTAGTCTGCCAATAAGAATGCGGTGGTTGACAGAGTCGAAAGCCTTGGCCAGGTCGATGAAGACGGCTGCACAGTACTGTCTATTATCAATCGCGGTTATAATATCGTTTAGGACCTTGAGCGTGGCTGAAGTGCACCCGTGACCAGCTCGGAAACCAGATTGCATAGCGGAGAAGGTACGGTGGTATTCGAAATGGTCGATGATCTGTTTATTAACTTGGCTTTCGAATACTTTCGAAAGGCAGGGCAGGATGGATATAGGTCTGTAGCAGTTTGGATCTAGAGTGTCACCCCCTTTGAAGAGGGGGATGACCGCGGCAGCTTTCCAATCTCTGGGGATCTCAGACGTTATGAAAGAGAGGTTGAACAGACTAGTAATAGCGGTTGCGACAATTTCGGCGGCTAGTTTTAGGAAGAAAGGGTCCAGATTGTCTAGCCCAGCTGATTTGTAGGGGTCCAGATTTTGCAGCGCTTTCAAAACATCAGCTGTCTGAATTTGTGTGAAGGAGAAGCGGGGGGGGCATGGGCAAGTTGCAGCAGAGGGTGCAGAGTTGGTGGCCGGGTTAGTGGTAGCCAGATGGAAAGCATGGCCAGCTGTAGCAAAATGCTTGTTGAAATTCTCGATTATTGTAGATTTATCGGTGGTGATAGTGTTTCCTAGCCTCAGTGCAGTGGGCAGCTGGGAGGAAGTGCTCTTATTCTCCATGGACTTTACAGTGTCCCAAAACTTTTTGGAGTTAGTGCTACAGGATGCAAATTTCTGTTTGAAAAAGTTAGCCTTTGCTTTCCTGACTGCTTGTGTATATTGGTTCCTAACTTCCCTGAAAAGTTGCATATCGCGGGGGCTATTTGATGCTAATGCTGTACGCCACAGGATGTTTTTGTGCTGGTCAAGGGCAGTCAAGTCTGAGGAGAACCAGGGGCTATATCGGTTCTTAGTTCTGTATTTTTTGAAAGGGGCATGTTTATTTAAGATTGAGAGGAAATTACTTTTAAGGAACAACCAGGCATCCTCTACTGACGGAATGAGATCTATATCCATCCAGGATACCTGGGCCAGGTCAATTAGGAAGGCCTCCTCGCTAAAGTGTTTTAGGGAGCGTTTGACAGTGATGAGGGGTGGTTGTTTGACCGCGGACCCGTTACGGACGCAGGCAATAAGGCAGTGATCGCTGAGATCCTGGTTGAAGACAGCTGAGGTGTATTTAGAGGGTATGTTAGTCAGGATGATATCTATGAGGGTACCTATGTTTAAGGATTTAGGGTTGTACCTGGTAGGTTCGTTGATAATTTGCGTGAGGTTGAGGGCATCTACCTTGGATTGTAGGATGGCTGGGGTATTAAGCATATCCCAATTTAGGTCACCAAGCAGTACAAACTCTGAGGATAAATGGGGGGCAATCAGTTCACATATGGTGTCCAGGGCACAGCTGGGGGCTGAGGGGGGTCTGTAGCAAGCGGCAACAGTGAGAGACTTATTTCTGGAAAGGTGGATTTTTAGAAGTAGAAGCTCAAACTGTTTGGGCACAGACCTGGATAGTATGATAGAGCTCTGCAGGCTATCTCTACAGTAGATTGCAACTCCACCCCCTTTGGCAGTTCTATCTAGACGGAAAATGTTGTAGTTGGGGATGGAAATTTCAGAATTTTTGGTGGCCTTCCTGAGCCAGGATTCAGACACTGCTAGAACATCAGGGTTGGCAGAGTGTGCTAACGCAGTGAATAACTCAAACTTAGGAAGTAGACTTCTGATATTTATGTGCAAGAAACCAAGACTTTTGCGATTACAGAAGTCAACAAATGATAGCTCCTGGGGTGTAGGAGTGATACTGGGGGCTACAGGGCCTGGGTTAGCCTCTACATCACCAGAGGAACAGAGGAGGACTAGAATAAGGATACGGCTAAAGGCTTTAAGAACTGGTCTTCTAGTGCGTTGGGTACAGAGAATAAAGGGGGCAGTTCTCCGGGCATTGTAGAAAAGATTCAGGGCATTATGTACAGACAAGGATATGGAAGGACATGAGTAAAGTGGAGGTAAACCTAAGCGTTGGGTAACACTGAAAGAGATAGTATCTCTAGAGGCATCAATTGAGTCGGTTTCTGAGTGTATTGGTGGAGGGACAAAGGAGCTAACTAAGGCATGTTTAGCTAGGCTGGGGGGTCTACAGTGATATAGTACAATTAGAAATAACCGAAACAACAATAAACTAACCATGTTTGGGCTGAGGCTAAACATAAACAGGATGTAGTACCGTAAAAAGGAACAGTCCAGCAGATATCAGCTGTATAGCTGAGTTATCATAAGGTCCGGTGGTGAAACACTAGTAAGAGGCCACGGCTAGCGTGTGCTAGCGGGCCAGGGCTAGCAGATGGATGGAATCTTCGTGGTTAACGTCGTAACCACATCAGACGATTTCGTCGGCAGACCAGTCGTGTAGGATCGGCGGGGCTCCGCGTCAATACTATGTGGTCCCGTCCAGTTGATAGAGAGGTAGATAGCCGGGAGATGGGCCTAGCTCAGGTTGATTAGCCAGACCACAGCGTCCGTTTTGTTGTAGCCAGCTGGTGGCGATGAATCCGGAGTTAAAGGTCCAGTGAATCAGTGATTCCGCGGAAGAACTGATATGTTCTGGGTCGATAACGCGCTGTGCAGACTGGCCGAATATCCGGTGATCAATGTCCAGTGATTAAAATTAATCCCGCGGAAAAAATCCAATGTTCTGGATGAAAACACCTTAGCTGTGGCTAAAAGCAAATAGCAAGTAGCTAGTTAGCTGGCTAGCTAGTTTCAACTGGAGATTCTAGATTCTAGATAAAGGTAAGTCAATAATAGAATCCGTTCCACATTGAGTGAGGCGGGTTGCAGGAAAGTATATCTTGTAGAAGGATGAAAAGTCTGATAGGGAAATATGTACGAAAAATGTACGAAAATAGAGTATTTACAGGCTATTTACAGACAGACGATAAAAAAAACAACTGCACTACCTCGCCATCTTGGAGTAATGAGCATTAATCCTTGCTCTTGTCTTTCCAGAGCTTTCCTCAACTAAAGTTCCAACACAGCGTTCCAACAGTAAGAGTTTTCTTTGCTGACATAGTTATGCGTCTTTTATTGGATAACTGGAGGGCAATAATAAGAAACTGTAACTGGTCCCAAATGCAGACTCTCCATATGAGAGATGTAAGAGTAATCTCTCTATGCCAGTATACTTAATTTCTGGCATAGTCTCGAAAAGACAAACCTTGAGAAAGGTTCTTCAAGTAAACAGGTGCACATTGAGAAATGAATATTAGATAGATAGACATTGAGAAAGGTATATTAGATAGATATTGTGAGATGTATTTTAGATAGATATTGAATTCTGTGTGAAGGTTGAGAAACTTACGAAAGAGTGCCTTGCGAAGACATCGAACTCTGAGGTCATCTGGCCCGTTCCCCCAGCCACGGCTGGAGTGGAGAACAGCCTGTAGACACTCTGGATGTTTTCCCCAGCCGCCTCCACCTCCTTCATCAGAGTTCAGGCCTCACCCTTCTCAGAGAACTAACTCCCTTACCCCGTTGCTGGCAAACTCATTTCGCTGCCAGATGATAGTCTGAACTGTGGGTCACCCCTGGAATGGAGGAATCACACATTGCAATATATTACATTCTTTCCTCATGTTTGTCTAGCTCTTAATTGGCTGCTCAGAATGTACAGTATTTTTGATGGGTCTACGTGTCAGGCACACTGTAACCTAATAGTAATGGCAATTAATTGGATTCATATAGCACTTTTCCATGTGCTCAAAGGGTTTTAAATTGTAGGGGAAAGGGGAAATCTGCAATGTATGTCTCCTACCATACATTAACCAGGTGTACGTCTACCACCATACATTTACCAGATGTCTACACTTTTAGACAAAAAGGTGCTATTTAGAACCTTAAAGGGTACTTTGGCTGTCCCCATAGGATAACCCTTTGAAGAACACTTTTTGGTTGAAGGTAGATCCCTTTTGGGTTCCATGTAGAACCCTTTCTTCTACATGAACCCTAAAGTGTTCTAACTGGAAGCAAAAAGGGTTCTCCTATGGGGACCTTTTGGAACCATTTTTCTAAGAGTGTATAGTTTTTTGTCATACCATGTTTTATTCATGACTATAGGAATCTATTACAGTATAGGAACACAAGGGGAGTTACATCACCTCTGCAGGAGCACAAGCTAATAAGAGTATTTGACTTACCAATGAGTGGGGACCACTGGGCAGGGGTGCGATAGATGGGGTGCTGCTTGGGGAAGACGGTCTGGCTCCACTTTCCTGAAAATGTCAGGCTGTACTTGGCAGTGGCGTCCGCCGTGCACACCGGGTCTACGGTCACAGGCATGGGATGGACACTCCCTAGCAGGGTCAAGGTCAGGGTCAGGCTGGCTAGCCAGTGCACCAAACTGCTAGTGCTGCACATGCTCATCACTCTTTCCATGCTTGTTACTGAGGTTGGAAAAGAGAGAGGGGAATAGGGGGAATTTCAGGTTCTGATCTGCACCACTTAAATGGGTAACCAAACACACACTCTCTGTGTTGGTTTAAAGTAAGTGGGCCATATGATTAAGGAGGAAAGAATTTTAGCCTCAAAACTTTTCCACAGCACCAGACTGAAACTCACATGTAGCCTAAACCCAGTGCAACAATGACAGACAGCGTTAAATGGGAACCAGGTCAGATGCAGACTTGAAATCAACTTAGATGTATATATAAATAACTGCACTGAGAAAATATTAAGGTGTTTGCAGTCTATCTATGATCTGCATTCTTTCTACAATCATTTGTCTTCATTCATTATTATTGTACTTGAGTATGAACATGCACAGTTAATCTACTGACAATCAAAGTCTAGTAATATATACAGTAGGCAGCATCAAGTCTCTGACAAGCTAATATGATTAGGGACATCATAGAACACTTGTTCACTGCATTAAGATGAGTAAAAATATATATTTTGCCTTCCACACATAACACCTACTCATTGCATGCATGCTTGTCAGATCCTCACTACACAAACGTCAATTTGACATTCAGTAAGTCATTGAGAAGAGAGAGAGAGTAGGTACTTACTGAGTTTGCAGATACAGATGAGGTTTCCGTTGAAGTTGAGGAGTGATGTGTAGAGAGAAGAGCTGCAGAGGAGTGGAGGACATCTCCTGTGCCTGGGCTGTCGTGAGAAGGGACTGCGAGACCTGAACGCTTCACTCAGCTATTTATGCCTTCTAGAGGTCCCCTCAGTCAAACAATATCAACAACCCCTACCCTGACCCCTCCCAGCACCACTGATGCATGCAGCATGCTCCATGTTAGCTCTCCCTCCCGCCCTCCTCCCAGTCCTCCCAGGATGTGAGTTAATAGATCATAGTTGGAAACGGGGTGCTAGTTTTTTCTACAAGGGTCTATTCTACAATGTGTGTGGAGCTGGAGCAGGGACCCCGCCTGCCTGTGCAGGGCCTCTTGGTTTCTTAGGCAAGCTGAGTGGTGGGGGAAGTGGCTTGGCCAGTGGACAGCTTGGCAATGGGATAGGGATGGGGAGGCAGCCTGAGCCAGCAACCCTTCTAGCCCACATACAAGCTAAGAGCTCCAGCCTGCTGCTGTAATTGCTCCACATGCTCATGTTTCACCTCCACAGCTTCTTCTACTGCTGCTGCCGCTGCCCTCACACTCCCACTCGCCTGCTCTATAACTCTGAGACTAGGGTTGTTTTTAGATTTTGTTGATTAAATTCCAGAAGTTCAATCAGAAGTGCACATGCAGTGGGGAAAAAAAGTATTTAGTCAGCCACCAATTGTGCAAGTTCTCCCACTTAAAAAGATGAGAGAGGCCTGTAATTTGCATCATAGGTACACGTTAACTATGACAGACAAATTGAGAAGAAAAAAATCCAGAAAATCACATTGTAGGATTTTTAATGAATTTATTTGCAAATTATGGTGGAAAATAAGTATTTGGTCACCTACAAACAAGCAAGATTTCTGGCTCTCACAGACCTGTAACTTCTTCTTTAAGAGGCTCCTCTGTCCTCCACTCGTTACCTGTATTAATGGCACCTGTTTGAACTTGTTATCAGTATAAAATACACCTGTCCACAACCTCAAACAGTCACACTCCAAACTCCACTATGGCCAAGACCAAAGAGCTGTAAAAAGGACAACAGAAACAAAATTGTAGACCTGCACCAGGCTGGGAAGACTGAATCTACAATAGGTAAGCAGCTTGGTTTGAAGAAATCAACTGTGGGAGCAATTATTAGGAAATGGAAGACATACAAGACCACTGATAATCTCCCTCGATCTGGGAATCCACGCAAGATCTCACCCCGTGGGGTCAAAATGATCACAAGAACGGTGAGCAAAAATCCCAGAACCACACGGGGGGGATCTAGTGAATGACCTGCAGAGAGCTGGGACCAAAGTAACAAAGCCTACCATCAGTAACACACTACGCCGCCAGGGACTCAAATCCTGCAGTGCCAGACGTGTCCCCCTGCTTAAGCCAGTACATGTCCAGGCCCGTCTGAAGTTTGCTAGAGTGCATTTGGATGATCCAGAAGAGGATTGGGAGAATGTCATATGGTCAGATGAAACCAAAATAGAACTTTTTGGAAAAAACTCAACTCGTCGTGTTTGGAGGACAAAGAATGCTGAGTTGCATCCAAAGAACACCATACCTACTGTGAAGCATGGGGGTGGAAACATCATGCTTTGGGGCTGTTTTTCTGCAAAGGGACCAGGACGACTGATCCGTGTAAAGGAAAGAATGAATGGGGCCAAGTATCGTGAGATTTTGAGTGAAAACCTCCTTCCATCAGCAAGGGCATTGAAGATGAAAGGTGGCTGGGTCTTTCAGCATGACAATGATCCCAAACACACCGCACGGGCAACGAGGAGTGGCTTCGTAAGAAGCATTTCAAGGTCCTGGAGTGGCCTAGCCAGTCTCCAGATCTCAACCCCATAGAAAATCTTTGGAGGGAGTTGAAAGTCCGTGTTGCCCAGCGACAGCCCCAAAACATCACTGCTCTAGAGGAGATCTGCATGGGGGAATGGGCCAAAATACCAGCAACAGTGTGTGAAAACCTTGTGAAGACTTACAGAAAACGTTTGACTTGTGTCATTGCCAACAAAGGGTATATAACAAAGTATTGAGAAACTTTTGTTATTGACCAAATACTTATTTTCCACCATAATTTGCAAATACATTCATCAAAAATCCTATAATGTGATTTTCTGGATTTTGTTTTCTCATTTTGTCTGTCATAGTTGACATGTACCTATGATGGAAATTACAGGCCTCTCTCATCTTTTTAAGTGGGAGAACTTGCACAATTGGTGGCTGACTAAATACTTTTTTTTCCCCCACTGTATATTATGTCGTAACATTTTGTAAGCAATCAATTTATTTCACATCGTTGTGAGTGAGGTAAGTTAACTGATTATCAATATATCTAATTGTACCATATCCATGCTGTATTTTAATTATGGTGAGGTCTAAAGTAATGTGCTTTGTCTGCTAAAACTCTGTAACACTTTGGTGAAACATCTGTAGCCTTATCTTTTCCAGGAAGTAGTAAATACCGGAGTCAAACATGGTGTGATTGCAGATGTAGGTCAGAAGTGGCAGAGGCAAGTTTGCCAAATGTCTACCGAAAGAAAGGAGAGCATACAAAGTGTTGTATTGTCCACTGCAACCATATATGAGGTCACAGCAAAATGGCCCTCTGGATGTGAGAGTGGTTGAGAGACCTTTAGAGGAGTCTCCCCACAACCACACGCCACCAACATCTGGACAAAATAACATTGACATCCCTTTGACACGTTTCTCTTTCTCCCTACAGCACCAAACATCGACCTTAGGGCTCATTAGGCAATTGTAATTGTATGCTGTAGTGTTAAGATTTCCCTTCACTGGAACTAAGGGGCCTAGACCGAACCATTAACAACAGCCCCAGACCATTATTCCTCCTCCACCAAACTTTACAGTTGGCATTAGGCATTCGGGCAGGTAGCATTCTCCTGGCATCCGCCAAACCCAGATTCGTCCGTTGGACTGCCAGATGGTGAAGCGTGATTCATCACTCTAGAGAATGCGTTTCCAGTGCTCCAGAGTCCAATGGTGGCGAGCTTTACACCACTCAAGCCACCGCTTGGCATTGTGCATGGTGATCTTCGGCTTGTGTGCGGCTGCTTGGCCATGGAAACCCATTTCATGAAGCTCCCGACAAACAGTTCTTGTGCTGACGTTGCTTCCAGAGTCAGTTTGGAACTTGGTAGTGAGTGTTGAAACCGAGGACAGATGATATTTATGCGTTACACGCTTCAGCGTGGCCTACCACTTCACGGCTGAGCCGTTGTTATTCCTAGACTTTTCCACAATAACAGCACTTACAGTTGACCGGGGCAGCTCTAGCAGGGCAAAAATTGGACCAACTGAGTTGTTGGAAAGGTGGCGTCCTATGACGATGCCATGTTGAAAGTCACTGAGCTCTTCAGTAAGGCCATTCTACTGCCAATGTTTGTCTATGGATATCACATGGCTGTGTGCTTGATTTTATACACCTGTCAGCAACGGGTGTGGCTGAAATATCCGAATCCAATAATTTGAAGGGGTGTTCACAAGCTTTTGTACATATAGTGTATATGTACAGTGCAATCGGAAAGTATTCAGATCCCTTGACCTTTTCCAAAAAAATTTACGTTACAGCCTTATACTAAAATGGATTAAATTGTTTTTTCCCCTCATCAATATATACACAACACCCCATAATGACAAACCAAAAGCAGTTTTTTTGAATTTTTTGCTAATGTATTCAATATATAAAACTGAAATATATTTACATAAGTATTCAGACCCTTTACTCAGTACTTTGTTGAAGCACCTTTGGCAGCGATTACAACCTTGAGTCTTCTTGGGTATTACGCTACAAGCTTGGCAGACCTGTATTTAGGGAGTTTCTCGCATTCTTCTCTGCAGATCCTCTCAAGCTTTGTCAGGTTGGATGGGGATCGTTGCTGCATAGCTACTTTCAGGTCTCTCCGGAGATGTTTGGTCGGGTTCAAGTCTGGGCTCTGGCTGGGCCACTCAAGGACATTCAGAGACTTGTTCTGAAGCCACTCCTGCGTTGTCTTGGCTGTGTGCTTAGGGTCGTTGTCCTGTTGGAAGGTGAACTTTCGCACCAGTCTGAGGTCCCGAGTGCTCTGGAGCAGGTTTTCATCAAGGATCTCTCTGTTCTTTGCTCCGTTCATCTTTGCCTCGATCCTGACGAGTCTCCCAGTCCCTGCTACTGAAAAACATCCCCACAGCATTTTGCTGCCACCACCATGCTTCACCGTAGGGATGGTGCCAGGTTTCCTCCAGACGTGACGCTTGGAATTCAGACCAAAGAGTTCAATCTTGGTTTCATCAGACCAGAGAATTTTGTTTCTCATGGTCTGAGAGTAT